AGACACTAGACAAATTTGCCTATCTAAAATCCACATGCCCAAAGCCTTGGATTACGAGGTTTGATGACCTGACGAAACATCTGTTTTATCAATAGGACTGTCAATTTAGTAAAACCAACGTTCTAAAATCTTACTCCAAATAAGTAAGAGATGGAAGATATAGTCTACATTTTTTAAATGTATGTTGAGAAATTCCTTTGTATCCCATTGAATGTGTGATGTTTTTACATTTAGCCTGATTTAATGATATTTTATGGTAAATTACAATTGTAAAGGAGTGGGTGGGTTATGGTTATTTTAATGGAAAATATTTGATTTCCACTGTGTTAACGTAGCGTGTGCTCTGTGTCATGGATATCTAAATTAACTTCATTCAGGCCCTATAAATATTGACCTATAGGCCTACCTCGGAATGCAGTCCTCACCCTTTATTTACCAGACAACTTGAGACAGTTGCCATTCCGGCCATTCTAAAGTCTATAGATTAGAAATTATTTCCTGAAGGCTTAGAACCGATCTTCGAGTTCATGAATGTTTTCTGTAGGATAAAATTTGGACATCAAAACTGTCAATTTGCTCTCTATAGGCAGTGATGCAGTGCTAGACTATTTGATATTTGGAGTATGTCACTTTGTCATAGAAAGAAAAAAACGTATTTTCTTGTTTTAGAAATAAAATAGGGCCCATCTGCAATTTTTCATTGTCAATTCATTATTATAACACCTGAACCATGAATTCCTTAGCAAGTGCTACGACGAGTTGACAGCATCTATTATTTACAAAGGTAAACCACACTAAATGGTGTACGAATAATTTATAATCTGGCCATAATTAATGTATATTAACATGCTGCTAAAGGTATATATACCTATAGGCAAAATGTGTCTAAAACGTGGCATTGCTTTACATGTTTAGGTGCCATCAAAATGTGTATAGCCAAGAGAAGTATCTCTGTCTAATGTTCATGCTTGGTTCATGTTTCCCCCCCCCCCCCCCCTTTGTGCCCGGGGTTTGTAGGCTATGAATTTTAGTTTGCTTTTTTTATGCAAAAGAATGGTGGTGTCCAGGCCAGCTGGTCAACTAAATATTGACACTTAGTAAAAGCATTTAGAATACGCCTAGCTAAGCTTACATGCAGTGAAAGTTAGATCAGCATCTCATTTGCCTAATAAGATACAGTGTGTGGCCACTTGAGAGAGCAAGTGCTGGATATTTTGCTCAAGAAATGTGGAAGATATTTATACTTTAATAAGGGAACATAACGTCTCTTTGGTATGGCCACGATGCAAAAAAATGGGTGATGAATCTGCAGAAACATTGATGGATATCGGTGCGCAAATAGTTCGCGTTCTCTCGGGATTTGAAGAAGCGTCTAAACACATAAATCCTCTCCCGAAATAGCCCTCTCCCCCTCCAAGCTGTCGGCCCACGTAAATCCCCACACACCTCTCTCTCTTTCTTTCTCTCTCTCTCGCTCGCTCGCTCTGTAGGTAGCCTACCTCTCCAGGTTCGCCCCGTCCACGGTTTGATAACTCGTCATCGTCTGCCCCCCTCCCCCAAAGGCAGGGATTACTGTACCTACCTGCCCTACGCATTGGTGTCCGGTAAACCGTCACTTCCTTATCACTTGCGTGCGCTGAGGTGTCCCCCAGTGCGTAATATGGTGCCTTGGTTTGTGGCTGTTGTTATGACCCTATGTTATGTGTGAATTTCTGTGACATTTAGCCTATTCCGACATAGCAATAGTTAGGCCTATTTATCTTCATACGTATATGTTTTAGGTTGTCCGACTCATTCAGTTAATTTTGAATAACCCCTTTTGATATAACCAATCCATGTAATGTCAATTGTAGGCCTGGCTTTTATGTTTTATCAGAACCAAAACTTTAAGGTCCAATGCAACCATGTTTTATCTCAGTATCAAATAATTTCTGTGTAACAATTAAATACCTTACTGTGATTGTTTTTAAATCAAGTGGTAAAAAAGAAACGAAAATGTCTTCTTAGCAAAGTGCAATTTCTCAAGCAATAATTTTGCAAGGACTGTCTGGGAGTGGAGAGGGGGAAACTGAAAACTAGATGTTATTGGCAGAGAGGTTTGGAACTCTCTTTCTTATTGGGCTATTAATTAATTTACCGCCTGGTGATGTCAGCAGGCAGGACAGAATTCCATCCCACCAAAACAGGCATACATTTCAGGCGGTCTTTTCAAACAGCTCTTACACTAAAAGTGTATTATCTTAATTTTCACAATTGTACAGTATTATTCCAACCTCATAGTGTGGAAATATACATTCACTGGCCAGTTTGTTAGGTACACCTCTCCGTTCACGAAAATGGATTGCACGTTGCCGTGGCTTGCTATATAAAGAAGGCAGACAGGCATCGAGGCATTCAGTTACTGTTCGATTGAACGTTAGAATGGGAAAAACAAGTGACCTAAGCGGCTTTGAGCGTGGTATGATCGTCGGTGATAGGCACGCCGGATCCAGTATTTCTGAAACTGTACATCAGTGGTGTGCAGAACGGCATCTCGGAACGCACAATACGTCGATCCTTGTCATGGATGGGCCATTGCAGCACACCGGGTTCCACTCCTTTCAGCTAAATCCAAGAAGAAGTGGCTCCAGTGGGCACGTGATCACCAACACTGGATAGTTTACTTGAGTGGCCTGCGCAGTCCCAAGACCTCGACCTAATAGAGCAGCTTTGGGATAAGATGGAACGGGCTGTTGGTAGCATGAATGTACCGCCGTCCAATCTGTTTCCGACACTTTGTAGAATGCCTTGAAGAATTTCTGGAGTCAAAGGGGGGTCCGACCCGGTACTAGATGGCTGTACCTAATAAAGTGTCCAGTGAGTATATATAAAACACAGGAAAATCACGTTTTTGACTGCACTGGGCCTTTTAATATGCTACTCTAAACTTCCTTGATATCTGTCAGATGAATAACCAACCCTGACACTTGTTTAATTATGAATAACTTCTTGTTGTGAGGATTGTGCTCGTGCCCTCATAATTCACAATAACAAATAACTTACGTAAACATCTTATAAACAGTTGCATAATTACTTATCCTTAACTGCAATAAGATTTTTCAGATACTCTGGAAAGGCATTGGGTTGACATTGTCCCTAAGACAGGGAGTAGATAGTTCGATCCAGCTGTTTGGTCATGTGTTGAGGTCGTAACAATAACAAATTTAGCTGAATGCAATTAATATTCTTATGGCTGGGTCCCTTGCCCACATGATAAAACTGGGAAAATTCACCACAGACGAAAAGCTATAGTGTGTCTTATTTACCCAAGTAGCCACTGTTTTTGACCCTGTGATGCATTTAAAATTGATTATTATAATAATATGGGGGGTGCTTATATTTGTCCTATATAAGTGTTTTTTGATTCGCATGTGTGAATTGGAAATGTGTTTTTTGCATGTCCCAACTCCCCCTGAAACACCCTCAGAGAGTGGAGTCATGGCCAGGGTCTGCCATTATCAACGGCAACCCTGGAGCAATTAGTGTTAAGTGCCTTGCTCAAGGGCACATCAACAGATTTTTCACCTTGTCAGCTCAGGGATTCAAACTAGTGACCTTTCGGTTGCTGGCCCAACACTCTAACCTGTAGGCTACCTGCCGCCATCATATTCATAATGACATGTCATGACATTTCAACAAAATAATATCAGAGCCACCAATCACCTGTCTAAGTTTAGAGCTTTTTGTAAACCAAATACAAAATGGATGAATGTTTCTAAAGCTAATTTAGGTCCAGTCCAGTGTGTGGATTGTTTAGAAAATTAGGCGTTTGGTTATTGTATTATTCAAGAGAGAGTTCCATTGCCCTTAGCTGACTTTTCACTCTGTGTTGAAAGGTTTTCCTATGGTAGCCATTTTCCATTTTTCGTTGTGTGTTCAGTAGTCTGCAACCTCCATCTCTTTATTCTGATGAGACCTAAGTTATGTAGTTGATCAAGACGGAGGGCCAGTATGAAAAAATGTATGCACTCACTAACTGTAAGTCGCTCTGGATAAGAGCGTCTGCTAAATGACTAAAATGTAAAATGTAAGACGGTCTGTGCCAAAAGTGTCATATTCAGGTGGTACGGTATCTGGAAAATAATACCCATACTAGTTGCTTCCCAGATCCAGTCCTATTCCTCATGTACAATTTATTCTTCAATCAATAATCTTCACCTGTTTATTGAACTGTGAACTGCACTGCTGAACTGTCCTCACACCTATGTCCTTGACGAATGAATTAAGAGATTAAGTTGGAGAGAAAACCAGTATACTCATTTGACTAACCAATGAGCAAGGATTCAGAGTCACTGACCTCTATTTAATTTGCTACACTGTAATATGTCTCAAAGAGTATTGTGCAGACAGACTTCCACATTTACCTCACAAGTATGTGTCATTCTGTCTGTTTGTGTGATATTACGAGAGGGGTTAGTAAAGAGCTAAGGATTAAAAGGGATATACATCTCAGGGTCAGACGAAGACAACCGGAAGTTGAGACATGGAGGGAAAATGAACAAGAGTTAAAACTCTAAGACAGAGAACGAAATACATTAAAAAGTATCTGCTGCAATGTTATTTACATTTGAGTCATTTAGCAGATGCTCTTATCCAGAGCGACTTACAGTTAGTGAGTACATACATTTTCATACTGGCCCCCCGTGGGAAACGAACCCACAACCCTGGCGTTGCAAGCGCCGTGCTCTACCAACTGAGCTATCACGCGAGTACTGGTGTATTTTCTACTTCATTACTATGGGACAGTTGGCTCCTAGCCCCTTTTCAGCTGTTGTTCGCAAGGCAATAGTGTTGAGCACGTTTCACCTTTAACACATTTAATAAACACCTGACAGGTATCAAAAGGACACTGTGTCACCAGTACAGATGTGCCCTTCTACATGCACTCCTGTTTAGACAGGGAGATATTTCTCAGGACGCAGAAAGGGGGATTGGTGTTAAAAAAAGAACAGTGGTGCAAGATGGGTATGACGATGTGAGAGGAGAGGGAGTTGACAATGAAAGGCAGGGACTGAGACGAGACCAGAAAGATGAACGAGGGATAGGAAGAATAGAGGGAAAGAGAGGCCCACAAGTACAGAAATAGTAGGAAGAGGTATTAATAATTCATCGCCAGCGAAAGTCATTAATGCTTAATGTCAGAGAATGCTGGAGAGATTGCTTGTGTGAACTGTTTTTGGTATGGGCACCGTTGTGGCACCCATTTTGTGGATGTTGCTTAGTCACATGTATTGGCGTACAAAGTTTCCGCATACCACAGCAGTTTTCGACTTGCCACAATGCACAGTTTGTAAACTGTAGTTGGAAGCAAACTGTAGTTGGATGCCAAATGAGGTATACAGTTTGCTGTCAAAAGTGTAGGTGTAATTCGGGCAGGTTTATTTGACCTTCTCATCATTCTCCAGCCTCCACATAGCAAGTCACCTTGTAAAATGGCCTTGCATGTTGATGGGGTGACAGACGCACACCTTGTGCCCAGTAACAGTGCTGCTGTGTGGCAGATTGCTATGACATTGTGACATTGGTCTACATACTGCTTTGGTGACACTGTCAGATTACCCTAGCCTGATTTATCATGGGTTTGACTGGCCTTGGTTAGTCTGTCTCAGTAGATGTTGCCCTGGTACAGCACAAAATGTGGTTCTCCAAACTCTGGTGGTTCTGAACTTCTGGTCAAGGTTCTGGTAGGGACATCAGAGCATTGACCCAGTATGATAAATCATTTTGTCTTGATCCGGAGAAATGTATCCAAAAATGTTTTCTGTATATTTATATTTGCAAGAATCCCATCTAAGCATCACCTTTCCCTGTTTCTTGTGAGACGTTTGATCTTAATGAGCAGTTTCTTCCTTCCACCTCATACTATATTGTTTCTGATATGTCTGTAAAATGACAATAGTTAGATTTTGGAGGGATGAAAAGGTCTGGCCAAAGAAAATGACACAGCACAGTGTGGTTCAAAGGAGTACCCATTTGTTATCATTCCCAAGAACTACGCCCAACTAGCCAAAAATTATTCAAGACCAATAGTCTGATTCCTCAGACGAGAAACTGTCAACTTTGCAGTTCAAACAATACTGGCTTCAACACTGACTGACAGTTTGGTATTCTTCCGCCTCCTACAGCCTGCTCTGAACCACTGTTACATCTTTATTTCCAAAGCAGAGATGATATGATTGACTCTCCTCCCCCCTAATCACTTGAGCATTAAAAACATATGACCAAACTGGAAATAAAGCAGGGGCATGTGAAACCTCAGTCTCCCCCACATCCCCCCATATCCCTTGGTCTTGCAGCAGAGGTATGAAGTATGGTCTGTGAACTCAGCACAGCCTCGCATTGGGGCTGGGCTGATCTCATGCTTAATGGATGATGTGTCTCGGCTGACTACGTATTTGATGTTTCCTAGACTGGAGGCTGGCGCAGGTCGTTAGCATGTTTGCTCAGTGAGCTGGATGAGTCGGGAGAGAGCAGGAGAGAGCGAGGTGGAGAGAAGGGGCCAGAGATGTGCCAAAGAGACAAGTGCTGTTTTCACCGTATGGTTTTAGCTCTACTGTATTGCAGCCTGCCTGCCAAGGCCTGTCAGGTTGGTCATGTCAGCAAAAAACCTCTTCGAAAAAAATAACTCACTGCAGGCCAGGGCTTGACCAAGGTGACATTGAAGTGTACAGAGGTGGTTAATATATTTTTTAAGAGGTTTACAGGAAGGAAAGTCTGTCTTGGAAGAGTATTCTGTTTGTGTAGTAAATCTTTTTATGTTGTCAAGCATAGCAATTAAAATACTTTAGCAATGAATACAATCTCATGTAAGTTCAATACATTTACATTTTAGTCATTTAGCAGACGCTCTTATCCAGAGCGACTTACAGTTAGTGAGTGCAGACATTTTTCATACTGGCCCCCTGTGGGAATCGAACCCACACCCCTGGCGTTGCAAGCGCCATGCTCTACTAACTGAGCTACAGTTGGTAGAGCATGGAAGACACACACTCAAACCTACACAATTATTGCCATGATCCAATGATGCTTACAAGAACATACAGTTGAAGTCAGAAATGGTACATACACTTAGGTTGGAGTCATTAAAACTTGTTTTTCTACCACTCCACACATTTCTTGTTAACAAACTATAGATTTGGCAAGTCTACTTTGTGCATGACACAAGTCATTTTTCCAACAATTGTTTACAAACAGATTATTTCACTTATAATTCACTGTATCACAATTCTAGTGGGTCAGAAGTTTACATACACTAAGTTGACTGTGCATTTAAATAGCTTGGAAAATTCCAGAAAATTATGTCATGGCTTTAGAAGCTTCTGATAGGCTAATTGACATCATTTGAGTCAATTGGAAGTGTACCTGTGGATGTATTTGAAGGCCTACCTTTAAACTTAGTGCCTCTGCTCAGCGCCTTTGCTTGACATTATGGGAAAATCAAAAGAAATCAGGCAAGACCTCAGAAAAAAAATTGTAGACCTCCACCAGTCTGGTTCATCCTTGGGAGCAATTTCTAAACGCCTGAAGGTACCACATTCATCTGTACAAACAATAGTACGCAAGTATAAACACCATGGGACCACGCGGCCGTCATACCACTCAGGAAGAAGATGCGTTCTGTCTCCTAGAGATGAACGTACTTTGGTGCGAAAAGTGCAAATCAATCCCAGAACCACAGCAAAGGACCTTGTGAAGATGCTGGAGGAAACAGGTACAAAAGTATCTATATCCACAGTAAAACGAGTCCTATATTGACATAACCTGAAAGGCCGCTCAGCAAGGAAGAAGCCACTGCTCCAAAACCGCCATAAAAAAGCCAGACTACGGTTTGCAACTGCACAAGGAGACAAAGATCGTACTTTTTGGAGAAATGTCCTCTGGTCTGATGAAACAGAAATATAACTATTTGGCCATAATGACCATCGTTATGTTTGGAGTAAAAAGGGGGGCGGCTTGCAAGCCGAAGAACACCATCCCAACCGTGAAGCACGGGGGTGGCAGCATCATGCTGTGGGGGTGCTTTGCTGCATGAGGGACGCTTTTTCAGTTCTGCCCACACATTTTCTGTAGGGTTGAGGACAGGGCTTTGTGATGGCCACTCCAATACCTTGACTTTGTTGTCCTTAAGCCATTTTACCACAACTTTGGAAGTATGCTTGGGGTCATTGTCCATTTGGAAGACCCATTTGCGACCAAGCTTTAACTTCCTGACTGATGTCTTGAGATGTTGCTTCAATATATCCACATAATTTTCCTTCCTCATGATGCCATCTATTTAGCAAGGAGGCCTACAAACCTGACTCAGTTACACCAGCTCTGTCAGGAGGAATGGGCCAAAATTCACCCAACTTATTGTGGGAAGCTTGTGGAAGGCTACCCGAAATGTTTGACCCAAGTTAAACAATTTAAAGGCAATGCTACCAAATACTAATTGAGTGTATGTAAACTTCTGACCCACTGGGAATGTGATGAAAGAAATAAAAGCTGAAATAAATCATTCTCTCTACTATTATTCTGACATTCACATTCTTAAAATAAAGTGGTGATCCTAACTGACCTAAGACAGGGAATTTTTACTAGGATTAAATATCAGGAATTGTGAAAAACTGAGTTTAAATGTATTTGGCTAAGGTGTATGTAAACTTCCGACTTCAACTGTACACTTTATATACAAAAGTATGTGGACACCCTTTCAAATTAGTGGATTAGTCCTTTTCAGCCTCACCCGTTGCTGACAGATGTATAAAATGGAGCACACAACCATGCAATCTCCGTAGACAAACATTGGCAGTAGAATGGCCTTACTGAAGAGCTCAGTGACTTTCAACGTGGCACCGTCATAGGATTCCACCTTTCCAACAAGTCAGTTCGTCAAATTTCTGTCCTGCTAGAGCTTCCTCAGTCAACTTTAAGTGCTGTTATTGTGAAGTGAAAATGTCTAGGAGCAACAACGGCTCAGCCGCGAAGAGGTAGGCCACACAAGCTCACAGAACGGGACCGCTTAGTGCTGAAGCGCGTAACGCGTAAAAATCGTCTGTCCTTGGTTGCAACACTTACTACTGAGTTCCAAACTACCTCTAGAAGCAACATCAGCACAAGAACTGTTCGTCGGGAGTTTCGTGAGATGGGTTTCCATGGCCGAGCAGCCGCACACAAGCCTAAGATCACCATGCGCAATGCCAAGCGTCGGCTGGAGTGGTGTAAAGCGCTCCACCATTGGACTCTGGAGCAGTGGAAACGTGTTCTCTGGAGTGATGAATCACACTTCACCATCTGGCAGTCCGACGGACGAATCTAGGTTTGGTGGATGCCAGGAGACGGTACCTGCCCCAATTCATAGTGCCAACTGTAAAGTTTGGTGGATGAGGAATAATGGTCTGGGGCTGGTTTTCATGGTTCGGACTAGGTCCCTTAATTCCAGTGAAGGGAAATCTTAACTTAATACTACAGCATACAATGACATTCTAGACGATTCTGTGCTTCCAACTTTGTGGCAACAGTTTGGGGAAGTCCCTTTCCTGTTTCAGCAATGCCCCCGTGCACAAAGCGAGGTCCATACAGAAATGGTTTGTCGAGATCGGTGTGGAAGAACTTGACTGGCCTGCACAGAGCCCTGACCTCAACCACATCGAACACCTTTGGGATGAATTGGAAAGGCAACTGTGAGCCAGGCCTAATCACCCAATATCAGTGCCCGACCTCACTAATGCTTTTGTGGCTGAATGGAAGAAAGTCCCTGCAGCAGTGTTCCAACATCTAGTGGAAAGCCTTCCCAGAAGAGTGGAAGCTGTTATAGCAGCAAAGGGGGGACCAACTCCATATTAATGCCCATGATTTTAGAATGAGATATTCGATGAGCAGGTGTCCCCATACTTTTGGTAATGTAGTGTATATGAAACATTCAATGTCTACAGACACTTTCAACTAATATCAAAACAGTTCTCGACCCTGCCTTGCTCAAGGGCACATTGACAGATTTTTCCCCTAGTTGGTTTGGGGATTCAAACCAGCAAACTTTCAGTTACTGGCCAAACGCACTTATCCGCTAGGCTACCTGCTGCCATAATTTGCCATTTAGCAGACACTTTTCTCCAAAGTTAGTCATGACAGCATACATTTTACATATAGATGGTCCCAGGAATCAAACCCACTACTCTGGCGTTACAAGTGCTGTGCTCTACTGACTGAGCTACAAAGGACCCGTCTTTGAACCGCCTTTAACGTCTGTATGTTACAACTGTCTATACAAGTCACAAGCCAACTCTCTCTCTATATATATATATATCCTCTCCTTTTCGTTCTCAGAATCCTAGAGAAGCGGCAGGAAAATGGGGAGACCATCGAGCTCACCGATGAGGGCCAGGCAGTTATCGTGGAGGAGAAGGAGATGCCCGTGGTGGACTGCACCTGTTTCGGCCTGCCCCGACGCTACATCATCGCCATTCTCTCCGGCCTGGGCTTCTGCATCTCCTTCGGTATCCGATGCAACTTGGGCGTGGCCATCGTCAGCATGGTCAACAACCAAACTATCTACAAGGGCGACAAGCCAATCCTCGTGGTGAGTCCAAGAGTCAGAGATATTGTCTTAGAACAAAGGGTTCTAAAAGGGTTCTTTGAGGACATAATAACTAACCCCTTTTGACCGAAAAAAGGGTTGTTTGAGGGTGCTTTGTTGAGTGAAAACATTTTACCTGAAACCAAAAAGGGTTCTCCTACAGGGACAAGCCAAAGAAATCTATATGGTTCTAGGTAGCACCTTTGTTTCCAAGAGTGATATGTGTGACTTGTTGGTAACCAGTGAGGGGAGAATTAATCCCTATTGTCAGTGGTGGTATGTCTGCTCTCAAAGGGTCAGAGTTGGACCAATCAGGTTGCTTTAGCTTTACCTCCTTCTCCTAAATGGATAATGACCTTATTGGTTGTAATGACCAACAAACACGAGACTCATGCCTTGTTGCACTAGCTGAAAGAGGATTGTTGCTGCCAATTGAAACGTGGTGGCTATCAAAGTTGCTAGGTCCCTATAATCGCAATGAAATAGTTTGATTATCAACTGCGACTTTGTCTTTTACTGAGTTAAGACTTTGATTAATAATTACCATAGAAGGGTGGTAGTTACGGTCACTTACTTTAGCGATCTCACATACATTTTTTCCCACCACCCCAGAAAATCTTTTCCTCCCCTTTCTTTGTCTTGAACTCTCCTTTCGTTTATCTCACTCTCTCACTCTCTCCATAGAAAGCTCAGTTCAACTGGGAACCAGAAACGGTCGGAATGATCCATGGGTCATTTTTCTGGGGATACATAGTAACCCAAATACCCGGGGGATTCATCTGTCAAAAATTTGCAGCCAACAGGTCAGCTGCTTATACTTATATGTAAATAATGTGCTGTGAATTTTTCAATAACTATTACTGTAGATAGATTTCTAATTCTATTTCCTCTTTTTCCCCCTCTATCACGCAGAGTCTTTGGCTTTGCCATAGTGGCCACCTCATGCCTGAATATGTTGATCCCATCGGCAGCACGAACTCACATTGGCTGCGTTATCCTTGTCAGGATATGTCAAGGACTCGTGGAGGTGCTTGGCTACATTCCATGGCTTCCCCTAGCATACATCAGAGTTCACACTTGCGCTATGCTGACAACTGATTGTTTTCTCTATGGTGAACTGGCCACTGCCCGGCCATGTGTCATACTTGACTTGGCATTTCACCTGAAATACCCTATGAGAGAAAGAGTTACACCAGGAAGTTATGTCATTGATTTTAGGAGATCAACAACTTTTCATATTAGAAAGAAAACATTCTCGTCAAGTGTGACACATAGCCAGTGTGTCACGCTCTGGCTCCGGGACTGTGTTGTTTGAGCCAGGGTGTATTCATTTGGTTGTGTTGGGTATAGGGTGTGTTCATTTGTTGTGTTTGGTTTTGGTTTTGTTTCCGTGTTTGGTCAGTGACTCCCAATCGGAGGTAACGAGTGTCAGCTGTCGGCTCGTTATCTCTGATTGGGAGCCATATTTATACTGTGTGTTTTCACCTTGTGGGTGTGGGTTTTTGTTCCAAGTTCAGTCATTGTCACTGTGGACTTCACTATCGTCTTTTGTTTTGTATTGACGTGCTTTACTAATTAAAGTCATCATGTTCACTCAACGCGCTACGTATTGGTCTGCTCCCTTTCAAGACGGTCGTGACAGAAAAACCCACCATCAAAGGACCAAGCAGCGTGTCCGGGAGCAAAGAGACTGGACATGGGAGGAGGCGCCTGGTAAGGAGATCGAGAGGCTGGCGATGGCCCAGGTGGGCAAATCGTGGTCCTGGGAGGACATGCTCGGGGGCAAGGGACCTTGGGGGAAGATCAAGGCCCTGGCGAGAGAGGAGCAACGGCGTCAGCAGGGTCATCGTTGGAAGGACGTGAGGCAACCCCAAAAAGTTTTTGGGGGGGGGCACATGGCTTGGGCGGCTGGGCAGCAGGAGGCTGCCACAGGGAGATGTGGAGAGAAGGCTACCGGATTACGGGAGCCATTGGCGAATAGAGGGAGGGAAGCAGTTGAGGCACGGCGTGAGAGACTGAGGTGTGTTACCAGTCCGGACCGGCCCGTTCCTGATCCCCGGTTAAGGCCAGTGGTGTGTGTTCCCAGTACGGACCGGCCTGTTCCTACTCCACGCATCAAGCCCACGGTGTGCGTCGCCAGTCCAGCCCGGCCGGTTCCTGTTCCACGTAGAAAGCCTACGGTGTGCGTGGCCAGCCCAGCCCGACCTGTTCCGACTCCACGCATCAAGCACAAGGCATGGACGACGGAGGCAAAGATGGGGCGAATCCAGGAGGCCACCAGGCCAGGGGTACACCGCCCTGTACGTCCTGTGCGGATGCCTCACACAGAGTGTGTGAGGGTAGGCATTCAGCCAGGACGGGTGGTGGCCGCTGTTCACTCCAGGCCTCCTATCCGTCTCCACAGCCCGGTCCGGCATAGTCCTGCTCCCCGCACCAAGTCCACGGTGTGCGTCGCCAGTCCAGCCCGACCTGTTCCTGCGCCACGTACCAGACCCACGGTGTGCGTCGCCAGTCCAGCCCGGCCGGTTCCTGCTCCACGTACTAAGCCTACGGTGTACGTCGCCAGCCCGACCCGGCCTGTTCCTGCCACCCACACCAAGTCTACGGTGCGCGTCGCCAGCCCGGTCCGGCCTGTTCCTGCCACCCGCACCAAGTCTATGGTGTGCGTCGCCAGCCCGGTCCGGCCTGTTCCTGCCACCCGCACCAAGTCTACGGTGCGCGTCGCCAGCCCGGTCCGGCCTGTTCCTGCCACCCGCACCAAGTCTACGGTGCGCGTCGCCAGCCCGGTCCGGCCTGTTCCTGCCACCCGCACCAAGTCTACGGTGCGCGTCGCCCGGCCAGAGTCTGCCGTCTGCCCAACGGCGCCTGAACTGCCCGTCTGCCCAACGGCGCCTGAACTGCCCGTCTGCCCAACGGCGCTTGAACTGCCCGTCTGCCCAACGGCGCCTGAACTGCCTGTCTGCCCAACGCCGTCTGAACTGTCCGTCTGCCAAGCGCTGCATAAGCCGCCCGTCTGCCATGAGCCTTCAGAGCCGTCCGCCAGACCGGAGCCGCTAGAGCCTTCCGCCAGACAGGATCAGCCAGAGCCTTCCGCCAGACAGGATCAGCCAGAGCCTTCCGCCAGACAGGATCAGCCAGAGCCTTCCGCCAGACAGGATCAGCCAGAGCCTTCCGCCAGACAGGATCAGCCAGAGCCTTCCGCCAGACAGGATCAGCCAGAGCCTTCCGCCAGCCAGGATCCGCCAGAGCCAGCCAGCCAGGATCCGCCATTCAGTCCGGTGCTGCCCCGTAGTCCGGTGCTGCCCCTTAGTCTGGTGCTGCCCCTTATCCTGGTGCTGCCCCTTAGTCCGGTGCTGCCCCTTAGTCCGGTGCTGCCTCTTAGTCCGGTGCTGCCCCTTAGTCCGGTGCTGCCTCTTAGTCCGGTGCTGCCCCTTAATCCGGTGGGGGTCAGTTGGAGGAGGCGACGAAAGCGGGTAGTGACTATGGTGGGGTGGGGACCACGACCGGAGCCAGAACCACCGCCGAGGAGGTATGCCCGCCCAGCCCTCCCTTGTTTAGCCCGTATTGAGGCGCGGTCGCAGTCCGCGCCTTTAGGGGGGGGGTACTGTCACGCTCTGGCTCCGGGACTGTGTTGTTTGAGCCAGGGTGTATTCATTTGGTTGTGTTGGGTATAGGGTGTGTTCATTTGTTGTGTTTGGTTTTGGTTTTGTTTCCGTGTTTGGTCAGTGACTCCCAATCGGAGGTAACGAGTGTCAGCTGTCGGCTCGTTATCTCTGATTGGGAGCCATATTTATACTGTGTGTTTTCACCTTGTGGGTGTGGGTTTTTGTTCCAAGTTCAGTCATTGTCACTGTGGACTTCACTATCGTCTTTTGTTTTGTATTGACGTGCTTTACTAATTAAAGTCATCATGTTCACTCAACGCGCTGCGTATTGGTCTGCTCCCTTTCAAGACGGTCGTGACACAGTGGCCAGTTCACCATAGAGAAATCAATCAGTTGTCAGCAACCTTTCAGTACAACTGCAAATATGAAAAGTTGTTGATCTCCTAATGTATCTCTTTCTCTCATAGGGTGTTTCATACCCAGCATGCCACGGCATCTGGGCAAAATGGGCCCCACCTCTTGAAAGAAGTCGATTGGCCACGACAGCCTTTTGTGGTGAGGTCATCTTGCTCTTCTGTCATTCTCTCTGTCTCCCGTCTTTGTCTGGACACTACAAAGGGACACAGTTTCGACTACAATTAATATAACTTATTGTGATGACGTATTTCTCCATAATTCTTCTTGTAAAACTGATGTTTTCTACATGACTATAACCATTTCAACATCTATTGTGACTATTTCCACCATTATAATCATACTGTGATTGCTCAAGATAGTTCTAGTTCCACAGCAATGTGTTTAATGCTGTTGATTTCCATATGACTGACCTTTCTGTCTCCCTCATGTTTGAGTGTGTCTGCCTCTGCATCTCAGGGTCCTATGCAGGAGCTGTGATAGCCATGCCACTGGCTGGAGTGCTAGTCCAGTACTCAGGGTGGTCATCTGTCTTCTATGTCTACGGTTAGTGACCTCTGTTTGTCATAAATGTTCCCAACTTAAAGTGATAGTCAGGGCGGGACTTAGGGGGTCTGGCCCGCCCTACCGTACCTCCTTGCCCGTCCAAATAACATATAGAAATATTGGTCATTTATTTGACTGAGACGTGCGCCGACAGAATGATGCTTCTATATCAGAGAAAGCATCCGAGCGAGGGAAACAGTGCCCATCTGTCTCAGAATGTGTAGACCATGTATCTGATTCTGTATGGACCAAAAGAGTATGGCATATCATACTATTTCTGGCCAGACAGCATCAGACACATGGGCTACATATAGTGAGACAGAGGGGCGCTGTTTCGCTCACTCGGATGCTTTCTCCAGTGAGAGAGTTTCAGCAGAGAGGAAGAGGCGAAGCGAGAGGGCTCACTCTCACCAAAATCTGTCCAGAATAAGCCCAATGCGTTTCTATGGACATAGTATGCAGACCAAAACTTGTCGCCTGCCTTCCCAGCTTTTGGACAACAACTCCCATTGTTAGAGCGGAAACATGAGCCTCTCGTCATTATATACAGAACTCTGGTTTCAGACTCTTGCGAATTGAAAAGGAAAGTTGGCAGGTGCATGTTAGGATAATGGCTTCCCCTAAAGCCAAAATTATATAATTACTACTAAATAAAAACATTCAAAATACTTCACCAGAGAGAATGACTTGGCCACAGAGGATCATTAGCTTGTTCAGTTTGTATGATTAACCACGTGACAATGATTTTGAGAAACAAAAACGTTATTATTGAAATTAAACTGTTCCACGAAAATGCGCATGTAAAAAAAAAACACAACTGTCACTCAGATCAGTAGAAATTATCAACTTCCCCAAACTTGAAACTCACGAGCTGCCTATGGTCTTTACTATTGCACCCATTAAAACTCATTGTGAACGCACAAGCACATGCACACATAGGAGGTCCCGTGAAAAAACGTGCCCGCCTATGGAAATCAAAGGCCCGTCCAAAGGATTCGTTCTGCCACAGGCTCTAGTGATAGTTCACTTTCATGTGAAGTTTGAGTTAATTTAGGACTTCCCTAGGTTATTGTCGTTTACTCCAAATTGTTTGCTGGTTATTTAGCAAAGTCCACAATCTCCTGGCTAGAATTTTTGGAGAACGTAGCAATGCTACCGGAAATGGATTGTATCTGTTAGCAAAAGTGAACAATCCCTCAGTTCACTTCAAGTATGCAAATTCTACAAAGGCTTATGAATTGGTTGTGAAACATGTAGCTCTGACCCTCAGTCTGTCCTAGTTTTAAACTTCCTATTCCCTTTTCCTCATCTTCCATCAGTTCCCTCCTTTTACGCTTCCTCTATTCTTCCTATTTTCTCTCCACTCTTTTCACTCTTCCTTCCACCTCCCAGGCAGCTTTGGGATCTTCTGGTATCTCTTCTGGATCCTGGTGTCATACGAGAGTCCGGCAGCCCACCCTACCATCACAGAAGAGGAGCAGAAATACATTGAGGAGGCTATCGGAATGTCAGCCGCTAATGCCACACCTGTTACGGTTAGTCAACAGTACACCAATTCCTCTATCCACTAACTCACTTCTGAATTAAACTTCACTTCTTCTCCAGATCCACTTTTCATGGCCCCTCCTTGCTGTGTTCTGATGGTGTGATTTAGTGTTTTTGAGCCTTTTTTTTTTTTTGTCAACAGTGGCTGGGTCTGAAATGGCCCACTTTTCCCTATATAGTGCACTACTTTTGACCTGAGCTCTGGCCAGCACAACTCTGGTCAAAATAGCTTTTAAGGAGAGCTTTGGCCCAGTGTTAATTTCTTAAACAAAACTAGTGACAAAAATATTTGTCAAACAACCATTTTTAAGTAGCAATTGACGAGACTATAATTGACTAAATAGACCCAGAAAAAACTATAACTAAACAAAAAAGATTTTTAATTTCAGTTGACTAAAACATGATGAGACTAAATTATCTCTGTGACTAAAATCTGACTACTAAGTGGACTGGACAAGAGTTTTTGGAGAGATTGAGAGCTTTTCAGTGATAAGCACAATTAACATTAGCAGCACAGATGCGCAGCGCAGTTCTGTTCAGCAGTGGGAAGGACGTGTCATACACAGCTTAAATCAGCTGGGGAGCTGCGGAGGAGCAAGCGATGAGGGCAGACATGGAGACAGGCTCCGCTCCATCTCCGGCTCCAAGGAAAGGGCATTTAGTTGACTAAAATGGCCCACTGTTTTCGTCATTTTGACAATCTAGACTAAATCATTGTTCAAATGACAAAAGTGTGACTAAAACATAATGATATTTCAGTCAAAATGACTAAGACTAGACTAAATCTAAAAAAGAGTGCTGAAATGAACACTGCTCTGGCCAAAAGCAGTGCACTATATAGTGAATATAGTGTATTTTAGAGCACACAATGGAATCATGATAACACAATCAACCCTGGTCTCAATGTGGTGGTTGTTACAAAAGCTCTAAATCAGTCTAACATTTTTAAAAATCTATCGAGTATCTTCTGTATTACATGTTTTGGGTTTTATTTTACTGTGCACAATTGCCTGCAACCTAACACTGAACGTTTTCTGGTCCTTCCTCTAGAAATGGAACACACCTTGGAGAGCCTTTTTCACTTCGATGCCAGTCTACGCTATCATCGTCGCCAATTTCTGTAGAAGCTGGACCTTCTACTTGCTCCTCATCAGCCAACCTGCATACTTTGAGGAAGTGTTTGGGTTTGAGATCAGCAAGGTGACTAAGACCAGGAATATCCATGTAGAGCTGGCCTAGAGCTACACTCAGAAAAAAGGTTCCAAAAGGATTCTTTGGCTGTCCCCATAGGAGAACCCTTTTTGGCTCTAGGTAGAACCCTTTATGGTTCCAGGTAGAACCCTTTTGGGCTCCATGTAGAACCCTCTGTGGAATGGGTTCTACATGGAACCCAAAAGGGTTCTACCTGGAACCCAAAAGGGTTCTACCTGGAACCAAAAAGGGTTCGTCAAAGGGTTCTCCTATGGGGACAGCCGAAGAACCCTTTTAGGTTCTAGATAGCACCTTTTTTGCTAAGAGTGTAGTGCTGTACTAGTACAGGTTTATCTGGCTTTGTGTGATCCTAGGCTTTGTGTGATCCTAGGGTTTTGTGATCCTAGGGTTTTGTGATCCCAGGGTTGTATGATCCAAGGGTTGTGTGGTCTCAGGGTTGTGTGAGCCCAGGGTTGTGTGATCCCGGGGTACACACATTTTATTTTTATATTTTCTTGTGAGGACTACTAACAAGCAGAGGCATGCTCCTCTAAGTCTTGTCTTATTTGTTGTACTGTACTAAAAAATATCTTCCCTCTCCATCCTCTGCCCACCTCCTATCCACCCCGCCACCCCTCATCCCAGGTGGGCTTGGTGTCGGCCCTCCCCCATCTAGTGATGACCATCATCGTACCGATTGGGGGCCAGCTGGCTGACTACCTACGCACAAACAAAATCATGAGCACCACCAATGTCAGGAAGATGATGAACTGTGGAGGTAAGAAAGGAGGGTGAAAAGAGGAGGAAGGAAAGAGGAGGAAGGAAAGAGGAGGAAGGAAAGAGGAGGAAGGAAAGAGGAGGAAGGAAAGAGGAGGTAGGAAAGAGGAGGAAGGAAAGAGGAGGAAGGAAAGAGCGGGAGCAGGCGGCAGGCGGCAGGGCAAGAGATGTCATCGATTTAGAAATTTGCTATCAAGTGTTTGTATCCATGAACCATAAAATATTATTGGTTGTTTGTATCAAATCAAATCAAATTGTATTGGTCACATACACATACGCATACAGATGTTATAGCAGGTGTAGCGAAATGCTTGTGTTCCTAGCTCCAACAGTGCAGTAATATCTAACAATACACAACAGTACACACAAATGTAAAAGTAAAAGAATGGAATTAAGAAATATTAGGACGAGCAATGTCGGAATCCAGAGTAAATATATATATATGTGATGGGATTTATGGAGAGTATGTGGATAGAATATGTAGTATATCTGTAGAATACGTAGGATAGAATAGTGGTCCTCTGTAGCTCAATTGGTAGAGCATGGTGCTTGTAACGCCAGGGTAGTGGGTTTGATCCCCGGGACCACCCATACGTAAAAAATATATGCGCACATGACTGTAAGTCGCTTTGGATAAAAGCATCTGCTAAATGGCATATTATTATTATTATATTATAGTATATGTACAGCAATAGTTGAATAGGATGGTATTGACTAGAATACAGTATTATACATTTGAAATGAGTAAAACAGTATATACACATTGTCACGCTCTGGCTCCGGGACTGTGTTGTTTGAGCCAGGGTGTATTCATTTGGGTGTGTTGGGTATAGGGTGTGTTCATTTGTTGTGTTTGGTTTTGGTTTTGTTTCCGTGTTTGGTCAGTGACTCCCAATCGGAGGTAACGAGTGTCAGCTGTCGGCTCGTTATCTCTGATTGGGAGCCATATTTATACTGTGTGTTTTCACCTTGTGGTTGTGGGTTTTTGTTCCTTTTGGTCAGTGTACCGTGGACTTCATTGAGTCGTCTTTTGTTTGTAGTTCGATAACGTTTATTTAATAAAGTCATGTTTCTTGGACATGCTGCGCCTTGGTCATACTTGGACGACATAGACGACCGTGACAGAAAAACCCACCACAAAAGGACCAAGCAGCGTGTCAAGCGGCAACAGGACCCAGCTCCAAAGGTCTGGACATGGGAGGAGATTTTGGACGGAAAAGGGTCCTGGACTTGGGAGGAAATCCTGGAGGGGATGGATCGCCGTCCATGGAGCGAGACAGTGGAGAGGCGACGGAGAGAGGAACAACGGCGTCGGCAGGGCCATCGTCGGAGGGACGAGAGGCAACCCCAAAAAGTTTTTTGGGGGGGGCACATGGCTTGGGCGGTTGGGCAGCAGGAGGCTGCCACAGGGAGATGTGGAGAGAAGGCTATCGGATTACGGGAGCCATTGGCGAGTAGAGGAAGGGAAGTTGTTGCGGCACGGCGTGAGAGACTGATGTGTGTTACCAGTCCGGTCCGGCCCGTTCCTGATCCCCAGTTAAAGCCAGTGGTGTGTGTTCCCAGTACGGACCGGCCTGTTCCTACTCCACGCATCAAGCCCACGGTGTGCGTCGCCAGTCCAGCCCGGCCGGTTCCTGCTCCACGCACAGAGTCTACGGTGCGCGTCGCCAGCCCGGTCCGGCCTGTTCCTGCCACCCGCACCAAGTCTACGGTGCGCGTCGCCAGCCCGGTCCGGCCTGTTCCTGCCACCCGCACCAAGTCTACGGTGTGCGTCGCCAGCCCGACCCGGCCTGTTCCTGCCACTCGCACCAAACCTACGGTGCGCGTCGCCAGCCCGGTCCGGCCTGTTCCTGCCACCCGCACCAAGTCTACGGTGTGCGTCGCCAGCCCGGTCCGGCCTGTTCCTGCCACCCGCACCAAGTCTACGGTGTGCGTCGCCAGCCCAGCCCGGCCTGTTCCTGCCACCCGCACCAAGCCTACGGTGCGCGTCGCCAGCCCGACCCGGCCTGTTCCTGCCACTCGCACCAAACCTACGGTGCGCGTCGCCAGCCCGGTCCGGCCTGTTGCTGCTCCCCGCACTAGCCCTGAGATGCGTGTCCTCAGCCCGGGACCACCAGTTCCGGCACCACGCACTAGGCCTTATGTGCGTCCCCAGGGTCCAGCATGCCCTGTTGCTACTCCCCGCACTAGCCCTGAGATGCATGTCCTCAGCCCGGGACCACCAGTTCCGGCACCACGCACCAGGCCTATAGTGCGTCTCGGCCGGCCAGAGTCGGCCGTCTGCCCAACGGCGCCTGAACTGCCCGTCTGCCCAACGGCGCCTGAACTGCCCGTCTGCCCAACGGCGCCTGAACTGCCCGTCTGCCCAACGGCGCTTGAACTGCCCGTCTGCCCAACGGCGCCTGAACTGCCTGTCTGCCCAACGCCGTCTGAACTGTCCGTCTGCCAAGCGCTGCATAAGCCGCCCGTCTGCCATGAGCCTTCAGAGCCGTCCGCCAGACCGGAGCCGCTAAAGCCTTCCGCCAGACAGGAGCCGCTAGAGCCTTCCGCCAGACAGGATCAGCCAGAGCCTTCCGCCAGACAGGATCAGCCAGAGCCTTCCGCCAGACAGGATCGGCCAGAGCCTTCCGCCAGACAGGATCAGCCAGGTCCTTCCGCCAGACAGGATCAGCCAGAGCCTTCGGCCAGACAGGATCAGCCAGATCCGTCAGCCAGCCATGAGCAGCCAGATCCGTCGGCCAGCCATGAGCAGCCAGATCCGTCAGCCGGCCATGAGCAGCCAGATCCGTCAGCCAGCCATGAGCAGCCAGATCCTTCAGCCAGCCATGAGCCGTCCAGCCAGGATCCGCCAGAGCCAGCCAGCCAGGATCCGCCATTGAGTCCGGTGCTGTCCCTTAGCCCGGTGCTGCCCCTTATCCTGGTGCTGCCCCTTAGTCCGGTACTGCCCCTTAGTCCGGTGCTGCCCCTTAGTCTGGTGCTGCCCCTTAGTCCGGTGCTGCCCCTTAGTCCGGTGCTGCCCCTTAGTCCGGTGCTGCCTCTTAGTCCGGTGCTGCCCCTTAATCCGGTGGGGGTCAGTTGGAGGAGGCTACGAAAGCGGGTAGTGACTATGGTGGGGTGGGGACCACGACCAGAGCCAGAACCACCGCCGAAGAGGTATGCCCGCCCAGCCCTCCCTTGTTTAGCCCGTATTGAGGCGCGGTCGCAGTCCGCGCCTTTAGGGGGGGGTACTGTCACGCTCTGGCTCCGGGACTGTGTTGTTTGAGCCAGGGTGTATTCATTTGGGTGTGTTGGGTATAGGGTGTGTTCATTTGTTGTGTTTGGTTTTGGTTTTGTTTCCGTGTTTGGTCAGTGACTCCCAATCGGAGGTAACGAGTGTCAGCTGTCGGCTCGTTATCTCTGATTGGGAGCCATATTTATACTGTGTGTTTTCACCTTGTGGTTGTGGGTTTTTGTTCCTTTTGGTCAGTGTACCGTGGACTTCATTGAGTCGTCTTTTGTTTGTAGTTCGATAACGTTTATTTAATAAAGTCATGTTTCTTGGACACGCTGCGCCTTGGTCATACTTGGACGACATAGACGACCGTGACACACATTATTAAAGTGACCAGTTTCCATGTCTATGTACATAGGGCAGCAGGCTCTAAGGTGCAGGGTTGAGTAACTGGGTGGTAGCCGGCTGGTGACAGTGACTAAGGTTCAGGGCAGGGTACTGGGAGGAGGCCGGCTAGTGATGGCTATTTAACAGTCTGATGGCCTTGAGATAGAATCTGTTTTTCAGTCTCTCTGTCCCAGTTTTGATGCACCTGTACTGACCTATCAGTCAGCTTGTGCCAGTTATATAACCTCTACTTTTACAGTACATGAGCAAAACTACTCAACTACAAAGAGAAATAGCAGGTAAAAAAAAGTTGAACTAAAATATTTAGGAAAGATATTGACCTGGAAAATACAACACCTTGTTTTGTGGTAACCACGGAGTCCAGTTGGTGCATGAGAAAATGATCACTGCATAAGGCAAATGATGACTCACCGTAACGCAGTATTGCTTGCCACTGTAGACTATTTTTGAACTGCAGAGAAATCAATAGAGGAGTGAGGGGAATGAGAAGCGTGTATATATACTGTATATCTCACTGTGTGAAACTGCAACATGTAGAGCCACAGTTAGGTTATACTGCCCTCAATACCCTTTAACTAGAAGGAAACAAAGGAAATCATTTTCTGCTGTTGTTTTATCCACAACACAAATCAATCCCCATTCATTTACCTGTGTATTCAAAGAATGCTCACTTGATTCTTGACTTCCTCCATATTTGTTTATGTGTCTTTACTTCCTTGTAATAGGTTTCGGAATGGAAGCCACCCTATTGCTAGTGGTCGGGTTTTCTCATACGAAAGCTGTGGCAATCACCTTTTTGGTTTTGGCTGTAGGCTTCAGTGGTTTCGCTATTTCAGGTGAGACTTGGGTTGTTATCTTTTAGATCTCTCATATATCTCATACCTCTGCTATTCTCTCCTCAAGACACGTTTTGGCATTCTCACACAACAGAAAAGAAACAGTTAACCGCAGCACCTCACAGAAACGAATAAGCTCCATCAGCAGAACAACTAACCCTGATCTGTCCATAGAGAATTGCATAATCTCTCAAACTCAGTTATTTAGGGGATCGTCTCTATCTTGCATAGAGTTTGGCTACTAATACAGTGAGGGAAAAAAGTATTTGATCCCCTGCTGATTTTGTACGTTTGCCCACTGACAAAGACATAGGGCGGCAGGTAGCTTAGTGGGTAAGAGCGTTGTGCCAGTAACCGAAAGGTCGCTGGTTCTAATCCCTGAGCCGACTAGGTGAAAAATCTGTCGATGTGCCCTTGAGCAAGGCACTTAACCCTAATTGCTCCTGTAAGTTGCTCTGGATAAGAGCGTCTGCTAAAATGTAAATGTAATGATCAGTCTATCATTTTAATGGTAGGTTCATTTGAACAGTGAGAGACAGAATAACAACAAAAAAATCCAGAAAAACGCATGTCAAAAATGTTATAAATTGATTTGCATTTTAATGAGGGAAATAAGTATTTGACCCCTCTGCAAAACATGACTTAGTACTTGGCGACAAAACCCTTGTTGGCAATCACAGAGGTCAGACGTTTCTTGTAGTTGGCCACCAGGTTTGCACACATCTCAGGAGGGATTTTGTCCCACTCCTCTTTGCAGATCTTCTCCAAGTCATTAAGGTTTCGAGGCTGACGTTTGGCAACTCGAACCTTAAGCTCCCTCCACAGACTTTCTATGGGATTAAGGTCTGGAGACTGGCTAGGCCACTCCAGGACCTTAATGTGCTTCTTCTTGAGCCACTCCTTTGTAGCCTTGGCCATGTGTTTTGGGTCATTGTCATGCTGAAATACCCATCCACGACCCATTTTCAATGCCCTGGCTGAGGGAAGGAGGTTCTCACCCAAGATTTGACAGTACATGGCCCCGTCCATCGTCCCTTTGATTCAGTGAAGTTGTCCTGTCCCCTTAGCAGAAAAACACCCCCAAAGCATAATGTTTCCACCTCCATGTTTGACGGTGGGGATGGTGTTCTTGGGGTCATAGGCAGCATTCCTCCTCCTCCAAACACGGCGATTTGAGTTGATGCCAAAGAGCTCGATTTTGGTCTCATCTGACCACAACACTTTCACCCAGTTCATCCTCCCGTGTCGTTCTGGGCTGATTCCTCACCGTTCTCATAATCATTGCAACTCCACGAGGTGAAATCTTGCATGGAGCCCCAGGCCGAGGGAGATTGACAGTTATTTTGTGTTTCTTCCATTTGCGAATAATCGCACCAACTGTTGTCACCTTCTCACCAAGCTACTTGGCGATGGTCTTGTAGCCCATTCCAGCCTTGTGTAGGTCTACAATCTTGTCCCTGACATCCTTGGAGAGCTCTTTTGCCTTGGCCATGGTGGAGAGTTTGGAATCTGATTGATTGATTGCTTCTGTGGACAGGTGTCTTTTTTATAGGTAACACGCTGAGATTAGGAGCACTCCCTTTAAGAGTGTGCTCCTAATCTCAGCTCGTTACCTGTATAAAAGACACCTGAGAGCCAGAAATCTTTCTGATTGAGAGGGGGTCAAATACTTATTTCCCTCATTAAAATGCAAATCAATTTATAACATTTTTGACATGCATTTTCCTGGATTTTTTTGTTGTTATTCTGTCTCTCACTGTTCAAATAAACCTACCATTAAAATTATAGACTGATCATTTCTTTGTCAGTGGGCAAACGTACAAAATCAGCAGGGGATGAAATACTTTTTTCCCTCACTGTATATCATACTCTTGAAAATTGATGGTCTGTGTAGTTTACAACAACAACATGGTGACCTTTCACAAATCGGTGTCCTTTCTCTCTGTTTCCCCATTAGGCTTTAATGTGAACCACCTGGACATTGCTCCCCGCTATGCCAGTATCCTCATGGGCATATCCAACGGTGTGGGCACTCTGTCTGGCATGGTGTGCCCGCTCATTGTTGGCGCCATGACCAAACATAAGGTACAAAAGGACTCTACTTCCACACAATATAATACATCACACTGCCCACTGCATTCATTACTAACTACTACACATCATATAAATCATTATCTATCATAACACAGCAAGACACTCATGGAGGAGTAAGAGACGCATTCTTATTCAATATTCATCCTTTCAGACCTTTCTCTTTTATCACTTGTTTAATTGATTGTTCTCACCCCCATTCACTTTCTTTTGTACTTTCTCTCTCCCTCACACACACACTCTCTCACTCTCTATCCCTCGGTCTAACAATCTCCTCTTTCCCTTTCTCCTCCCTCTCTCGCCTTAGACGCGGGAAGAGTGGCAGTATGTGTTTCTCATTGCTGCACTCGTTCATTACGGAGGTGTTATATTCTATGGTGTGTATTCTCTCTCGGTATTCTTTTCCCCCATCCCTCTCTTTGTACATCCTAATGAAGCTGTATAATAATGCTCCGTTTCACAACAATTGTTTGCCATTTACTTTTGAATTGACCCTGAAGTAAATAAATGTGTCTCATTTGTATCAAACTCATTTCATGCCAAACAAGCTAGATCATTCATAAAAAATCTAACATGTATTCTCATATTGCTATTCCCTCTTGCACTATTGCGTAACCTTTTGTAATAATATTTAGATATCATTAATTTTGGTCCTACATTTTTTTCCATATGTTAATGCAACCCTTTAGTGTAGAACTAAATAATCTAGATCCAAGTCAAGTAAGTACAGCTTTGGGCAGAATTATTTTATTTGTCTTTTGTATTCCAGGACTTTTTGCCTCCGGAGAAAAGCAGTGGTGGGCAGAGCCCGAGCAACTTAGCGATGACAAATGTGGAATTCTGGATGAGGATGAGCTGGCCAACGAGACGGAGGAGTTGTACCGTACCAGCGGAGGAGGCGGCTACGGAGCAACGAGCCAAGCCCCGGATCCCAATGGAGGAGGAGGGGGTGCAGGAACCTGGGTTTCGGACTGGGACAAGACTGAAGAGCTAGTACAACCACCAGGAACCAATAGTTACCTATATGGAGGAGAGGAAGACAGGGAACTAACATAGAGGGAGTTACAGGTATGAGTTACAGGGTGGGGTAGCAGACAGAAAGAGTACATAAAAGAGTGAAACGTTTCCTTGTGGCACAGGAACTTGGAAAGGGGTGGGGTAGGTGGACGGGATGAGGGCAAGGAGCGGAACAAGGAGGAGGAAGAAAAAGCCAGCATGACCAAAGTATTATTTATGGAGAACTGAAAATGAGGAGGAGCCATAGCTGTACCAAGCGTGTGTATGTGAGTGTGTTTTTGCATTTGTGTATGAGACAGTCTCACTAAGAGTATTTTAGGGAACCAACGCTTCTTTGTCCATACTGGTACACCTCTTATTGAAGAGGGATATTTTTAGGCCTAGTTTGGTTGCTTTCATTAACAGTGTGTGTATTATAACCCACCATATGGGTTGTCAGTTTGGTTATATTCCATAATGTGTATGAGCCTGATTTTTGTTACCATGTTTGTCACAAGACTACCTGTAGATCTACAACTGAATGCCATATGCTATATTACAATCTTGCGGCTAACATCCATGAAAGCTAAATTATATCAGAGCAAAATGCGAATTAAATCCATGATAATGTTCACACTTTTAAGAAAAAGCATCTTAATTGTGCCATTAAGTAGTATTTGTTTGCTTAATCTGGAGAGATGCAGTCTCAAAATTCAAAAGTTATTGACTTACAAACTGGTAGTCACAATGCTGTGTCTTTAGTCTGTTCAGATTCCTTCCACAGTATCAGTTCAATGAGTACAATTTTCAATTCTATCATGTCAACGAATTGTATATATTAGGCCTCTAACCTGTCTGCCTGGTTGAAAATGATTGTCTATTGAGATGTTGCCTTGTAAAGAATTACAAGGGATGTGGTTTTAGAAAAATAGTCAGAAGGATGAAAAAAATAATTGCACCAAAGACCAACTCAGAATTATCACACAATCCATGTTCTGCAAAATACAGTGAAATACGTTTATTTACAGGTAATACTGGTATTTGACAGGTAATACTGGTATTTGACAGGTAATACTGGTATTTGACAGGTATACTGGTATATATTTCACATACATTTGTTGGACTCTTCTGTTTTACTTTATATAAGGCTGTATGTATGAAGGTGTTTTGGGAAAGGAAAATGTAGAATCGCATAAAACGTAATAGTATTGTTCTGTAACAAGTCTGGATTCCGTATATACTATATTCTCCACCTCCAATAGTCTCGTAGTTATGTTATTGTAGCTTTGTATCGATTTCCACTGTTTGTCTTGCCGGTCACGCTTGATGTATTGTGATGTCAGTGCGCTCTCGCCGAAGAACCAGTTTTCTGGCACCAAGGAGCCAAAAACGAAACACACGCCAGCCTGTGCCCGCCGTCACAGTGACTAAGCAATAACACACTGAGGGAGAGAGACTGTGGTGTCATGATCCCAAAGACCACCCACCATGACCCTATCAATCACTCATCCAAACCAATCAAATAGTGACAGCTTTGAAGGGCAACATGGTGCATGAAGCTATATACCAGTCAATGGTTGACAGTACATGTCAAACATGATATTGATGTAGCCCCTGCCTCCCTCCACTGCCCTGGTGTCCATACAGAGCAGAGAAGGGGAACCGGAGATCTCTCTCTCCTATGGAGGAATATCTCTCTCAGCAACCCCTCCCTTTACTTATATAGTCTGCACTGAAGTGTAACTCTGGATATACTTAGAAACATCGGTAAGCTATATTTTTAAGCACTTAGTCAAAAAGCAATAACTAATGAATTATGTATGTCACTGAAAATGTTGCATTTCTGTACATACATAACTTTACTGGTAAGCCTTTTGAGTTGTTTAGTTAGCCTCAGAGCCCTAAGATAAAGCCCATGTTTTCATTGGTAAAGCAGTGGTGTATCACTTTCAGACTTGGCTCAAATACATACCGTATGTCAAAAACATGAAAGTATTTTGATGTACACTTGATTTAGCTTGAAGTTTGCACTTGGGACTGTTTCATTGGCTCTTCTGTACCAGGCAAACTAAATCAAGTGCAGCTTAAGTATTTAACAGTATTTTACTTACATATTTGACCCAGGTCCAATCACTTTGACTGAAGAGTTTGTTTCAGTCATTGGCGATAAACAATATTAGTATTTCACAGTCCAGGAAAGGATGAATATTTACTGTTAGGGTTTTTACTGTTGTGTGTTTTTGTTTATTTTTTATAGACTGTCAGTTGCTTTAATTGTTTAACTGTTTTGTTCTTTACTGTAAAATGTAAAATTGGATATGTAAAAAAACATGTACATGTGGGAAAAATATTGTATAATAAAAGCTAGACGACAATGTTATTATTACTATTATCATTACTACTGCTATTATCAACATTATTACACATTATTCAACATTATTTTTGAACATTACATTCAATTTATTTCTATGAACCTGTTCAGGTTTGTATACTTCTAGATGGTATATGAATGTGAATTGTTAACAAGCTGTATAATACACAAAGCCTCCTGTCTGGTTCCCACTCTATCTGCCACAACTTTCCCTTCTAACACCCCCATTCTTTCCTCTCCCTCTGGTTGGGCTGCTAATGGGCAAAGAACCCTTCTCTCCAGATACGAGGTGTCATATTACTTCTACGCTATATCCCTTCTCCATCTATTGATCACTGGGCTTCAGATATCACCCTAGAGAAAATGGGAGAGAGAAATAGAGATTTTGATGGGCTTTGCCACTGTCCAGGGAGCACGTGGAGGGTCTATGTCATGTCAGACAGAGATGGAAGAGTTTTCTACACTGGTCATAAGGGACAGGACTCTCTATATCACTCTCTTTCTCTGCCCTCTCTTTATCGTTAATAATCCTGCATCCATCAGCCTGAGAGAGAGTGAAAAGGAAGGGGGAAGGGAGAGACATTGATAACTGATATTAGATAATAATATGACACTTGATTTCTATCTGTACACTGTGCTTTCTCTTGGCATTGCTCTGTGAGTGGAGGGCGTGAAGGGGAGAGAGACGAGGAGGGAAGGAAAGAGGGAGGGAAAGGGCGGAAATAGAAGCTGTCAGGTTAGCTGAGGTCTTTCTGACACACTTAGCTGGGCCGAGGAGTTCCCTGGTGGGAACAGCAGGTTCAGGGAATTAGAGTCGAGATGGATGAGTGTAGTGCAGGAGGATTCCACCCCTCCTCTCCTCCTCTGCCCGCCCCGGGACTCCCTCAGCTTCCCTCTTCTCTGACCACTCAGTGGTATTTCTTGGGTCAAAGATACTGGCTTCAGTGTTGTTAAGACCAAGGTCCGTATTCACAAAGCGAGACGCTGATCTAGGATCAGTTTTGCCTTAGTTCATTATGAATAAGATGACATGGACAGAGAGGATCTTAGATCAGTACTCCTATTTTGAGACGCGTTGTGAATACAGCCCCTGAACAGTAACCAGTTGTAGAGAGTGTTAATTACTCATCCCTATGGTAATATTAAACCCTGCTGCTCATTCTATTGTTCTCAGACCTCATTTTAATATAATTATTCCAGCACAGGGTGATCCCGCACCAAGGTACACCAAAGTAACATTGTACAATAATACTGACTCAATCTGTGTCTGGTTGTGGGACCCAAATAACTGATTAAACATTGAGTTTCCATAAAACAACATGAGAATTGATTATGCAAATACTTTTATTTCAGCAAACTAAATGATCATAATAATGATACCCATGCTATACTGTCGCCCACTATAACTGACATAGATATACAGTTTGGAGTATTGCATTGAGATATATCAATATGTTTTAATATACATTCTATCTAAATGAAGACTCTGTATAATTCGTAACTCAAAAAATTCCAAGTGCTTGATTAAAGGGGCAATCTGCAGTTCAAACAACAACAAAGCGAGCATCCAGCCACAGTTTTGGGTAAACAGCTTAGGGGTGAGACTGGATAAATAACCACTCTCAAATTCATAGACGGGACTAGATGCAAGAACTGACCATCCATGAGATCAAAATGATTTTTTAAACCATGTTTTGAAGCTACACAGTGTTTATTTTTTTATTACAACGTTAACAAACAATGGGGTCAAACAGTTGAGCTAAGTTATATTGCCATGAGGCATTTCTAAGTTATATTCTTCAAGAATCAATGGCTACATATTATTAATTTAAATGTCAAAACATTTATATAGCAATCACAGATTTCCCCTTTAAACTGAACTGTGCATATTTGCCTTAATAGCACAAATGTATGCAACACCAAAACATACATCAAAGTTTTTTGTAAAACTTTCAATGTTAAAGTCAAATCTGTCTCACAAATTCTGACAATTACTAAATTACAAAGACAAGAAACTATAATCCCTCCTTTTGAACATTTCACACATCACAATGATCAAAGCATTATCCTACACCCCAACTTTCCGATTGTCCTTACATGACTTTCTATTGTCTCAGATGTAGGCCTACTTCTCCTCCTATCCCCCTTCTGCTCACAGAGTATGGTATATGTCAGCCTTCTTCAATGCTTCATACCCTCTCTCACTCTTTACTCCCTTCTGCCCCCAAAGTATGGTACAGATTCTCTCACTTTTCACCCCTCTTCACCCATCTCTCCTCCTGCTGCTGGAGTTGTGTTCAGGGTGTCGTACGCTCCCTCTCTCTCAGCTCTTCATACCGTCCTCCTCCATCCTGAGGCTTCACAGTGTCTTGTAAACTAGCAGAAAAACTACCAAAGAAAATTTGAAATCAACCTGTGTATTCAACAATTTTCACTCTCAACAGTAAGTTCAAATCAAATCAAAGTTTATTGGTCGCATACACAGTTTAGAAGATAGATACTTTATTGTGGAAAAAATTACTTACTATGACTGTGATTGGTTGTCCCACCTAGCTATCTTAAGATGAATGCACTAACTGTAAGTCGCTCTGGATAAGAGCGTCTGCTAAATTATTATATGTAAAAATGTTATTGTGGTTGCAGCGAAATGCTTATAAGTTGAGACCCTGACTGAGTTCCTAAAAAATGTAAGTACTTATTTTTGTATGTATGTTTTCTGGGGGTTGGGGGCCCTAAGCGACCGCTTACATCGCTTATGCCTGGGGCCGGCCCTGACACACACACACACT